CTTTTATACCCACCACTACGCTTCTCTCCTTTAAAAAAATTGGATTACTTCATGACATATAGACTGTCGTACTACATGCCCCCTTACTGGAGGAGACCCCCCAACATTCATTTCCTTGTTCGGATCTATTGCGACCATGGGTAGGGGGGCATGTGGCGTGACAGCTCTTGCCGGCTACGCAAATTCCAAGTTTTGCCCAGGAGGTCCCCGAGGTTCGAGAACTATTTTGCTCAAACTTTTACACCCACCACTGAGCTTCTCTCCTTTAAAAAAATTGGATTACTTCATGACATATAGACTGTCGTACTACATGCCCCCTTACTGGAGGAGACCCCCCAACATTCATTTCCTTGTTCGGATCTATTGCGACCATGGGTAGGGGGGCATGTGGTGCAACAATCCATCGCGCCTACATTGGTTCCGATTTTTGCAGGGAGTAACTTTGAGTTGGTGAACGCATGCGCAAGCGTTCAAGCATTCTGGGACTTCCTCCTCCCTCCCCCTCCCACCACGCGAAAATTGGAACCACAGTAAGCGGGGTACCCGACAGGAGGCCCGTCGCGCGGCAAGGGCGCCGTCACCGGACGAGTCGCAGCGTGTGATGTGCGATGTAGGACGTGCAGTGGACACTCTATTTAACTTGACGCGAAATCACTACAGTACGCGCTGCGACTCGTCCGCTGACTCTGCCTTGTTGCCGCGCGACGGGCCTCCTGTCGGACAGCCCAGCAAGCAGCGCCACCTCCTGAGGAAGGAGCGAAAAAATCTAAAGTGTCCTTCTCAAGCAGTTTTGTTTACATAAGGTTTTCCTGATCAATAAACCTAGGAAGACACCTTAGGCATCCACTGCTAACAAGGGTCTAACTGGTCTAATCAATTCCCGTGACTTATTCCATAGGCTCAGTTCCAGGATATGACCTGAATTTCAAACACATTTCACGAACCGCTGATCTTTTCCCCTGCAGTGACATGATCGCCATGGCGTTTCACGTGTTTATCTCGGAGGATCAGCATTTTCTTCGGTTTCACTGGCCTGAAAATAAACGCTGGGTTAGAAATGCTTCCAGACTGATGCACACACCTGCCCGGTGAGCTCCGTGGTGAGGCGCTGCTTCCGCTTATTGATCAAGGAGAAGTGTTACGTTAATGGCATATTTTTTGATTGCATATTTAGGTATTACGCCCTAATCTCAGAACAAATGTGGGCTCTATACAAGTGGGGTGGGCACGCCCAGCTTTTCACGCATGTCAAGTGACTGCCCTCACCCCCTAGATTGGCTACACTCCCCCTGGCTCACGAATTCCCCGATTCTCGTGACAGTATAGTAGCGGGCAGCAGTCCCACTTACATACATTTCTGTTCAAAAAATGCGGCGTGCCCACCCTACTTGTATAGCACCCAAACGTGATTTTAACACGTCCAGTAACAACGTCCAGTAACAAAAACGTCCAGTAAAGTAAAAAGTCGCTACAAAAACGTTCAATTCGCAGTGCGTCGATTGTATGGGCGTACCAGCTCTAGTACTGACCCGCTTCCCACCGTAATTCGTCTTCGAGTTCCCTACCGTGGTTGACCGCTCCCTACCGTATTTGACCGCATCATTAGGCCGATGTCAGACTTTGCGAATCGCTAGCGTCCGCGGTCGCGTTGCGGTACCAGCCAATTGAGTGATTCACTGGCCGCGACGCGACCGCAGACGCTAGCGAATCGCGCGATTCGCAAAGTCTGACATCGGCCTTAGGAAGACTGACCAATGAGAAGGGAGGCAGTTATGGAGCCGGGGTTATCTATTCAATTCTATGTGACTTTGAGATTTCTGGCAGACCCTACGTTCTTTCGCTGCGATTGACCCGAAAACAGCATTTTTTTCAGTTTCGGAGTAACGATTCACATCTAATTAGTCGCGGAATGTGACTTTAAGTCCTTTGTTGACGGAAGGTGCACAGCGAGTATTCGCTCCTAACCTATGAGGAGAGATTTCGACCATTTTCGAGACTGCATCTACCCTTATTTTCCTTGCCACTTTATCCCATTGGATATAATTACTAACTGTGAAATCCTATTATCACAAAAATGCTACCTCTTTCGCAAAATACTCGTCCCAGACAAGACTTGGACCTGTTCCAGCACATATAAGGTGAAAAATAGATGTTGAGAAAGCAAAACGAATCAGTTTTTGGGATTTCGTCAGGACTTTTCGCTACGGTGACCAAGAAAGAATCGGATCGTGCTCGTGTTTTGAACGTGATGCAAATAATACTCACGCTGTCCCGTTGAGTTTAGCGTCTTCGAGAGAAATCTTCACAGTGTTATTGTCTTCATCTAGGTTGTCGGAAGGAAACAGGAATAGCACCAATGACGGAAAGAATAAAAGAGCTCTGGAATATAGAAATTCTTGACCATGACATAACATATAGTTTGCGCTATACATATAAATTGATTAACATTACTTCAGTGACAAGAGAGAGTAGCGCTAAAAAATTATTGAAATTACTAAATAATCACACCCGAATATGAGAAATCCTAGCCACCAGCAACCAATCCACATTGGATCAAGTGGAGTGAGACCTTGTGGAGCTGAAAGAACGAGAACGTTACTTAGCACAACACACCACCAATGATTTAAAAAGAATTGGAACATCTAGCAATGATCAGATTTCTTTTGGGATGCGCCACTTGTCGACATTTACTCTGTATATCGTAAGAACGTTTGAAGGGTACTTGAGCGCTAAACGCAATCAGATGCGAAGTTAAGTGACATGGATCCCTGGATTTATTCCACGAGATGCATACTGTAACAGCTATCCTCCCTCGGCCACCCCTCGGCGGGGTGGAACGACTTATCGGCCCAGATTTGAATTGACTCTTCAACAGTGCGGGGTATGACGGACCCGTTTAGCAATTCATTACGCTATCGCCCACCTCTAGGACATAGAAGGGCTAAATATGTAGAGATTGCTTTGTGAGCGCAAGGATTTAAAGCTGGTTGACTGAAGAGCAATGTCTTCCAGGAAGGTTGCAGAAGAAAGCTTCAAGCCCTTTCTCGAAATCCAAGCGGTAGCACCTACATAGTATAGAAAAAATTCTTGCCTAGGTTGGTGCTAAAAGGTCCAAACTAAATAAAAATCATTTGACGTGAGAACCAGAAAGCTCACGGTACACAAGTTCGTAAGCTAGATTCCTCCTTCCCCATACCTAAACTATAAGAGGGCAGCAGCAGTGTAGTGGTAGGTGAAGCTGCTTACTACTACGCGCATGGTCTGGGATCAAATACTGAAGTACGCCGTCTGGGCGCCATCTATCCCTCCTGTGGATCGAAACCAAACATGTCTGGGAAAGAGCATCGCTGGCCTTGCACCTTAAGCTAATCTTAAATCTAAGAGCAAATCGTTTTCAAAATGCTTACAGATTCTAAATGAAGAAAACAAGATATGTAGATTACTGATGGCGCATCCCAAATGGGACTGAAGCCAAATGCCCAGCCTTTTTCTGTATATAATTACAATATAGCCAAATAAAAATTGCTCACGATCAAAAGTGTAGTAGATTTCGTTGAGTTTGCTACCGACGAGTAGACCGACTACAGGGCCAAGAATCTTCACAAAGAACATGCAGGCTGAAATCAACTCGATTATTCAGCGCCACGCATTGTATGGGCGAGGTTAGTGCGGTATGGTAATGGACCCACGAACCAAAGTATAGTGGGAGATTATGTTTCTTCACATTGTCGTCCATTAATGGAAGACCGAGTGAGAATGGCATCGTCCTGAAAAAGAAGAGCTTTCGGAGACAAATAGGCTTTGGGTCACTTATTTCATAGAAGAGCCCCCACCTTCCGACACCCAACAGCATCAGGCCTCCGAAAATCATCATAAAAGGACCAGAACTAGACTGCTCCTTTTTGCACTCGTCAGTTTTGTGCTGAAAACGACATGATCGAGATAAATCGTAACGAGATTAAGAATAATAAACAGAATTGCATATCTTGGAAATGCACTGTTTATTTGTTTATTGCTGCTGGTTTTACTGTACCAATGCCTACTATGTAGGCTTCAAAGTCATCTCTGTAACGCATCGAGCCAGCCTCTAGACCCGCTGTGAGCTTACCTTTCTAGGGTGAAGAAAGGGCCAGTAGTGAAGAAGGCGTACGAGGTAAATGCTGCACAGAAAGTTTCACGGTCCAGGGACCAATTCCTGCGAATCTGCGCCGCTTAGGCTAACCAGGTATTCCATTGCTCTTGGGTCAAACAATTGGCACCAGTTTTGTATGGAAAGACGAAAAAATGATTGGAACATTAGCGGGTTTTCAGGCGATTTACCGAATTGCATTTGATATGCCACTACGATTCTGTATGGAAGCGAATGCGTGACGCATCCCAAAGTAGGATTGTCAGCGGAACGCTCTATCCACTTTTCTCTTTTCTTGAACCAATAAAGCCTCTAGGCAAAAAATAATCTAATAGCAGTGAGAGCTTTCACAAAAATCGACCACAAAAACTTACGTCTTGCCGTAGTTTGTTGATAATATTGTGACAGAACGAATATGGCAACGATGTAAGGACACGCACAGCAGAAACATCTTTCTCATTGATTTGGTGCTCTTTTGAGATGCGTGCCTAGAAAAGGTTGTTACTTGCTACATTCCTTGAATTTCATAAATTAGTCCACCCGCTTTCCTGCTGAGAGACGACAACCCATTGTTTGAGTTTTGGCGTCTTGCTCAGTTTTTGGCGCTATCGCAAGATATGGGTACAACCTCTAGGCCTAGCCTGGGATGGGGCAAACCTAGATGAGAATGAAAATTGTTCAGGCACCCTGGAGTCTCTCCTCCCCCGCCAGTGGCTTCGCCCGTCCGTTTCTACACAAAAAGGAGATATTCGTGAGGTTTTGAATGCACTGCCACCACTGTGCCCCCATATTTTGCTGTAGCGCCCAGTTTTTTGAGAACCATTAGTACTCCTGCAACATTTCCTCCATTACTGATGGAAACACCACTTTCTTGATCCAAAATGTAGGCGGATTTACGACGAAATCTACGGAATTTCCAGAATATCCCCCAATGTTGATTTTTAACTATAGAAAATAAATATGAAAAATACCAAAAACCGAACAAAATGAGTGTGCGTGGCGAAGTCTGACGCGCTGAGCGTCCGCTCTTCCGCGCCAATCTTCTTCTTCTTCTTCTTCTTATTCTTTAGCGTCTGTCCCGCTTGTAAGGCGGGGTCCGCTTTTCTTATGTGTTGACGCCACTTTTCCCGATTAAATGCTTGATCGGGGTGGATATTAACTGACTTCAAGTCTACGTGCAACGTGTCGAGCCATCGCTGCTTCGGGCGCCCCCTAGGCCGCTTTCCGGGCACGTCAAGGTTGAGACCGATCTTACAGACACTGTCATCTTTCGCGCGAAGGACATGACCATACCATCGAAGACGGGCTTCGCGCATCTTGTCGACAATTGGAGCCACCCCGAATCGCTCTCTGATGACATCGTTTCGAATGTGGTCTACTCGTGTGACTCCGGCTGTCCAGCGCAGCATCTTGGTCTCCATCACACTGAGACGTGCTTCGATCTCTTTAGTCGTAGGCCAGCACTCAGCACCGTAAATCGCGACCGGCCGGATGACGGTCCTATAGATCTTAGATTTGAGACGTTCTGGCATGTTTTTATCGCAGAGAACGCCAGTCATCGAGCGCCATTTCGACCAGGCTGCATTCACGCGAGAATTCGTTTCGAAGACCAGGCTGCCGTCAGACGCGATTGCTGATCCAAGATACTTGAATGATGTTGCACGAGTGAGTTCAGTACCATTGATCTTAATAGAGCCTAACTCACTCGAATCGGTGGTCAAGTACTCAGTCTTCTTAACGTTCAGCTTGAGCCCGAACATAGCTAGACGGTCGGACCAGGCTTGTACCTGTTGCTCGAGCGTGCTTTTATCTTCGCTAGCGAGCATCACGTCATCAGCATAAAGAAGCGTCCATGGAGCCGGCTTCTGGAGATCTCTCGTAATGGCATCCATGACGACAACAAATAGGAGTGGGGGATAACGCAGAGCCTTGATGTACCCCGACAGAGATGGGAAAATCCATCGATGTTCCTGCTGCCGTTTGCACTCGGCTCTTTGGACTCGAGTAAAGGATGCGCACCCACTCGACGAGCTCTTCAGGCACGCCATGCTGTCGTAAGGCATACCATATAACGTCCGCGGAACGCGGTCGAATGCCTTCTCCAAATCTAGGAAGGCAAGGTGCACCGGTCTTTGTTTCTCGCGATGCTTTTCTAGCAGAAGGCGAGCGGCGTGTATGGCATCGATAGTGCTGCAACTAGCCACAAAACCACACTGGTTGGTGGTCAGCTCGACGATGTCCCGGATACGGCTATCTACAACTCGCTCAAAGATTTTCATGCTGTGCGAAAGCAGGCGAATTGGACGATAGCTAGTGCAGTCTCCTGGACTGCCCTTCTTCTTCCAGATAGGAATCGTCGTGCTTTGTTGCCAGCTTTCAGGCACCTTCTTCTCTGCAACGATCTGGTTGAAGAACTCCGTCAACCATTCTGCAGGATTCCAGCATTTTGATTTCCACAAGTCCGCCGCTAAGTCGTCAGGACCAGTTGCTTTGCCTGATTTCATCTTCTTCATGGCCGTGATGGTCTCCTCCACGGTTATCTTCTGAACGGGACCGTGTACTGGCGGAGCGCAGGGGATGGCGGGATGAGTAAATTCGACTGTTGAGATGTTTTCGAAGTAGTCACGCCATCGTTTCAGTGTTTTCTTGCGGTCCGTCAAGAGGTGGCCATTCTCGTCATTTATGCCGAAGAATTTTTCTATATCCTCGGTCTGGCGATGGCGGGTCTTTGCAAGTCGGTAAACGTACCGCTCTCCATCGCGCGACTCGAGTTTCGTAATAATATCAGCAAAATGAGCTGCTTTCACAGAAGCAACGGCCTTCTTTGCCTCTTTCTTCGCTATCTGATAGCTCAGCCAGTTCTCAGATGTCTTTTCGTGAAGAAATGCGTGGTACCGCTTCTTCTTTTCGCGCACTTTCTCTCTGACCTGGTCCGTCCACAGCCACGTTTGCTTGTCAATTCTCCGCCGTCCAGGCTTCGTCATCCCGAGCTCGGATCGAGCTATCCGAGTTATTTCTTCGGCAGCACCTTTCCAGGTTTCGTCGACAGTCGTTACCGCTGGTAATCGAATGCGGGAAACGACGGCCGCTTCTTTTTCCTTCAGTCGCCACCACTTGATTCTCGCTGGCCCACACCTTTCGGTTAGTTTCGGTTTCGGCGGGGCGATCTTTAGCGTACAAATTAGTGGTCGGTGTTGCGTGGCGACCGTTTCATAAGGCACTGTTTTCGCGTCTGTTACGAGCCCTTGGTCGTGGCGCCTGACAAGTAAAATCAATTTGTGTTCT